TGTACATTGTCTGCAAATAAACAGTTCGACAGCCCCAGAACATACACAAATCCCACAGACAAGAGAGAACTCAGTAAGCCCAAAGCTGGTGTGTGCGGTGCATGAGATACTCTTGTCTCATTCCTGGGAGAAAAACCCCACACTCAAAATGAGGGAAAGAGAGGTTTGTTTAGCTCACGTTTACTTGAGGCTTCAAGACACTGAAGGAGAGGCCGGGGCGCTGCCTTGTCCAGGATGACCTTCTCCACATCTCTGAGAAAGCACAGGCTGGCCAGTTTAAATGCTCAGCCCTATGTGGCCCCACCCCTGTGGCTCCACCTCTCTGGCTCTGCCCTCTGACCCTGTCCCTCTGGCCCCACCCCTCAAGAGACTGGCTGATTCTCTAGCCCAGTCTGCCCCATAACTTACATGAGGCGTTCCGGGGACAACTAAACACAATCCAACACATGAGGGGTCACACCTCAGAGTAGCTCAGAATTCATAGTAAGAGGAACAAAGTGAGGTTGTAGTCTTCTGCAGTGAAACTAGGTTGGAGTGAGAAACCCCTGGGCCTTTGGGAGACTTTGCACGAGTCACTGGAGGTTCCCCTGCTTCCCTTTCCACGTGGCACAGGGAGCCAGGAGGAGAGCTTCCTGTGTGGTCCGTGCCAAGGAGAAGCGTGAGCCGCAGTTCAAACAGTGGACCCAAGGCCTCCCCTCTCCATAGGCGAAGCTCTGTCAGTGCTGGCCATGGTAGTCACATCAGCAGCATCGTCAGTATCCTGGTAGTGATGATGCCATCAGCATCAGCATCAGCTGTACACACAACTTTATATTATCTTGGGCTTTGAAGGAATATAAGTCATTGAAACATTTTGTAATTTTTGAACATGAATTTATTCCCAATATTTTTTGACCCTTCCTTCCTTCCTTCCTTTCCTCCTTCCATCCTTCCATCCTTCCTACCTTCTTCTTTCCTTTCCTTTTTTTCTTTTGTCTTTAGCTCTGTTTATTTCCATACTAGTTGGGATTAAACCCTGGGCATGTACTTGCCAGGCAGTTCCTGGAGAACTGACTCCGCTCTCAGCCATGATGCAGGATTTATTGCTGTTGAGGAAACTCCTTGTGTATCCTTGATGCTCATCTGTCACAACCTTCCTATTTCTTTGAGCAAAAATTTGACAAATGCTATGGGACAATGTGTTTGTTTATTTACACATGTCTCAGTTAATTTCTCACTGCGGGAACAAAATATCCAACACCACAACAAAAGAAGAAACGATTATTTAGCTCCCAGTTAGTGCAGGTTTCAGTCCCTACTCAGCAGGCTCCAAGGCAGAGTGGCACAGGGCAGAGGGCACCAATCATTTACATGGAAAGCAGCAAATAATAAAGGAAGGAACATCTGGGGCAGTTAGCGGGCCTCTCTCATTTCCTTCTGTTGTCTCAGGCTATCCACACCAGAGCTGTGTAACACTCACTCCCATAATGCAGCATTGGATCATGAATTAGTCACCAAATCTAAAAGCTGCCCGCAGATCCAGGAGATGGCTTAGTGGAATAAGTGCTTTCCTGGCAAGCACAAGGGCCTGAGTTCAATCCCTGATTCCACCAAAAAAAAAAATTCAATACAAACTGCCCCCATGCCTGCATGAGGCTTATGGGAAACAACCAGGCACAGAACAGCAAGTTTACTAATTTCTTCCTAAGTTCTCTATGAAGAAAGGACCATACAAGTCATATTTTTAATATTTTTAAGCATTTTACTTTCCTACACACTCTTGGCAACACTGTAGAGTACTTTATAACCCCAAGCCCCTTGAAAAGTAAGAATTTTGAATTGATTCAGCACACTGAGGTAGCCATCACAGCAGAAACTTATGGAATAGGTGTTCCTGAACTGCTTCAGAAAGTGACTAGAACAGACTGGGTGCCGTGGTCCATCTGTCAGGTGGCTGAGGCAAGAGGATCAATGCCAGCCTGGGCTATGATAAAGTTATTTCAAGGCCAGCCTGAACATATATCTAGATCCTGTATCAAAAGACAAAAAAAAGGGAATAGAAAAAAGAACAAATATATAAGAAGAAAAAATTGTCAACAATGAGATATATGTATTTGAGAACAAGAAGCAGTTAAATGGGGATTAAAGGCAACGTGACTTTCCCTATAGTAATTTTTTCAGAAGTGAATCTGTGAGAACTTGGGATTTCCTTTACTGGGAAGTTTTATATTATATCTGCAGTTTCATTGATGGGTATTAATTTATTTGGAATTTAAAATTTCTTGGTCCAGCTTTGGTAATTCATATGGATCTAGAAATCTGTCTATTTTTTCTGCATTCCATCTTATCAGAATACAGG